TGTTATAGCAACTTAGTTTAAGTTCCTTAAACCCTGAACTTGTTCTACCAACTTACACCCTGAACCTTTATAGGAATCCGTAAAGGAACCCCCTGTTATAGCAACTTAGTTTAAGTTCCTTAAACCCTAAGCCCTTTCAGGGATCAAGGAATCCCTTATTATAGTTCTTTAAACCCTAAACCCTAAACCCTGAGCCCCTAAACCCCTAAACCCCTAAACCCCTAGACACCCTAGACACCCTAAACCCCTAAACCCCTGATCCCCTTAGGCCCTGAACCCCTAGACCCCACACCCTAAACCCCTAAACCCCTAATCCCCTTAGGCCCTGATGCCCTAATCCCGAAACCCCTAAACCCCTAATCCCCTTAGGCCCTGAACCCCTAGACCCCACGCCCTAAACCCCTAAACCCCTGATCCCCTTAGGCCCTGAACCCCTAGACCCCACACCCTAAAACCCTGAACCCCCAAACCCCTTAGGCCCTGAACGCCTATAGACCTTAAAGCCCTAAACCACCAAACCCCTAAAACTATAAACCCTACACCCCTAAACCACGAAATCCTAAACCCCCAAAGCCCTATACCCGACGTGATCCAGGGTTTAGCAAACTGACATAAGAAGATAACCTGTGAAAGTGGTATGATGCAGCAGAACAACATAGACCGGTTTAGGGGTTCAGGGTTTAGGGTTTATAGGGGTTTAGGGGTTTAGGGTGTGGGGTTTAGGGGTTCAGGGGTTATATCTCCTGGGTGAGGAGAAGCTGGGCCGATGGAGCCTGAAGAGGACATGCCTATCTCCGTTTCCGACGAGGAGGACGCGGCCGAAAAGCAGGAGGAGTTGGAGGAGGCTAGGAAACAGGTTGGGCTTCCAGAATATGATCCCGATCAGTGCCTAGTGTCCTCCGTTCCCAAGTTCCAGACACTTCTTTGCAATCATCTGACGGTGTTCTTACTTTGGTAGAGGGTTCTGGCTCTACATGATCTATGTCTCTATGTGGGATATTTACAGAATGGTGCTGTATAAACCTTCGCGCTGGAGGGTTTTCGGCTCCTAATTTGATGAACCCGAAACTGGAAGTTCAAGAAAGTTTCAGGAGATTCGAGGTAGGGTCTGCAAGGCCTCTAAAGTCCTAGTCCTGATGCTGCCTAGTTTAATTTATTAACACGATCGGCCAGTAATATTAAATATCAGCGCCCCGGAACAAGTCTATAGGCTCGAAGGACTCATCTTTTAAGGCTCTTGGGCCTGCTTTCGGGTTTACGGGCTTAGGGTTTCTAGGGTTTCAAATTATAAGGGTCTGTAGGGTTTTTTGGGGGATAGGGTTTCGGGTTTTAGGACACCTAGCGGCGGGTGGGGTGGGCTGGGATTCACAACAACAGACGGGGGGGAGCCCCAATGGTGCGGGGGAGTGCCCCGAAAGTGATGAGATCCGAGATGTTCGGCGTGTCCCAACTGCAGTCGCTGCCAATGCATCTTCTGGGAAAACGACATCTGCAGCGATAGCCAGAAAAGGCTGCCAAATTGAGCGCAGACTTCAAAGCAGCACACAGTCTGGGCTGAGCCAGCGGACGCTGCCAAGCTCGGTTCAGTGACGTTCTCCGAGAGGTCTCCGAGACTCCAGGGAGCTGTTCTGCCAGCTTAACCTCTTTGAGGTTGCCAAGCTCCAATGACCCGAGTCCGGCCAGTCTCCAAGCAAGGATCACTTCCGACATTTTATGGTTTAGAGGGTATTAGGGTTTATAGGGTATATATTAGGGTTTGTAATATACGTCTAGCTACCTATACTCCTATACTCCTACTCCTGCTACGGCCTGCCTCTCCTACACTGACACAGGTGACTACTGCGACTCGAATTGCCACGGCAACTTCGAAATTCTACACAAGTTTGGGGTTTTATGGATTTGGGGGGTTTAGGCTCAGGGTTTTGGATGATTATTGTGGGTTCACCTAAGACCCCTTCTATGTTTCTCCAAAAGCGACAATAAAGCCAGAAGCCCCTCTTCCATAAAACTTAAAAACAAACTCGAGCACTCATGCACATAGCGCCCTAGTTCCCCAAATGGGTAGCGCCGATCCGTGCTTCTATAGATTACCATAAGGGTCCTTATATTTTATAAGGCCCCTTTTTCCCTAAACCTAATAAACCCTAAACCCTTATATAAGCCCTACCCTAAACCCTATAAAACCCTAAACTTAATTCGTGAAATGTACTTGGACCCTCAAGGTTATATGATCCTATATACATAAGCCCGATAATTTCTATACAGCTCCAACCTCAAACACCGCAAGCACAAATTCCTGAACCCCTAGTATCCTGTAAACCCTTAACGTAGAGCCCCAACCCAAAACTCCGCAAGCCCAACTCCTAAGTCCCCTACAATGCCTTCAGAAACCAGTGGGGGGCAGAAGTCCATTCCCGAAGCTAGACATTAATTCACTTCCGGGTATACTCTATCCTATATATTGGGTGACACAGCCTAGGACTGCCTTGTCCAAGCGCATCGGCAAGATGAACCTGCTGAAGGAGAGGTTCGAAAAGGCTGAAAAGCCGACGGCTACGCAGACAGAGCTGCATGGAATATAATATATTCATGAGGTCACTGTGTACCATGCAGAGATAGTGCAATGCATCGTGCTTCTCATTTACAGTACAGCAAGGTTCCTGACTGCCATCTCCAAGAACTGGCAAGAGATGATGGATCTCGACAAGACCATTTCGATTCTCTACTCCAAGTCTGTGGTGCACGGTTTCTCGAAGCAGTACCTCTGCTGCACAAAACCGGGTGACCGGGTACTACCTTCAAGAAACCTTGAAAAGTGGGCTAAAGCACAAAGTACCCCCGGCTGCCTTGTGTTGTGCATGCATCCATCGCCCGGAGTCGTATAACCTCAGGGAAACCGATTATCTTCGAGATATGAAATTCACAGGGGATGAACTAAATGCACTATATAAATATATATACATACATACATACCCTATATGCACATTGTGTGGCTATGTAGCTATCTAATTCTAGCAGGGTATATATATATATGTATGGGTTTATATATTGGTACATGGCCTTAGAGGTTCTAAACTTTCGATCCCACTAACTAAATATGAAGATTTTAAGCTTGGCCGGGGGAGGGTCTCGGTTTGGGTTTCCAGCTCGGCTTATGTAGACACCTTTTGCATAGAGGCCTGATAATTGTTGGGATGCAGGATAGATATAATATAGGATAGCAGCTTAGCAACTATCTAAGGCAACAGGCCGCAGTGAGGGAGAAGATGGACGAAGTTCAGTCGAAGTCGCTCGACTGCCGGCTAGACTGCATGTGCTACCCTATATAACCCTAAACCTGAAACCCCTAAACCCTATAAACCCTATAAATGCTATAAACCCTAAACCCTCTAAACCCTATAAACCCTAAACCCTCAACCCTTATAAACCCTAATTGGCACATGAAGCCTTGCATCCTAGGGCTGCGGAGTCCCTGGGCCTCGAAAGCCGTTGCAGGCCGTGACCCAAAAAACTTGACAAGCCACGATATCCCCCTGAAACCCCGAGCCTGCTGTCTTGGACTGTTGGCAGGCCCTTCATGCCGAAAGTTGCTGCGAAAAGCAAAGCAGCGCCAAAGAGGCAGGTGAAGCCCAAAAGCAAGGCCAAGGCTAAGGCTAAGGCTGGTGCTCGGCAAGAGCCAGAGGAGCCTCCTGCCAAAAGGGCACGGAAGTGATTTGGCTTTGAAGTTTCGTCGGCTCCCCGTTTGTGATGCTCTGCCTATCATGCTTCTGAAGTGAGCATGCGCGCAGCTTTTGTTTTGGAAGCCTTCCTGCCAACAGCTTTGGAGTCTTCGCTGCGATCGATCTAGGTAATGCTAACGTGATCTCTTGACTTGCTTCAAAGCTGTTGGAGTGAACTGTCAGGGCTTATAGGGTTATAGATCCACTCGACGAAGTGTTTGCAGACATGTGGCATCGTATGTGGGCAAATATATTTCCTGTGCATATTATCATGTGACTCGCATTATGGGTGAAGACGCCACTTTGCCGATTTAATTCCAGTAGTGTACAGACTGGCATCGCTTGGGTCGATGCCAGGGACAACTCATCCTAGCTTCCTGGGATCGAAGCGCCAGCTCTTCTGGGAAAGGAAATGCTGGTCTAATTGCTTAATTAGGATACCACATCGTGTGTCTCTACCGTGTATAATTATATGTTGTTGCACATGCCAGGTGAGTTGGAAGAAGAGACCTTTGATGGGCCTGGGCGCTTTGCTGAAGCCTACGCTGAAGCTTTTGCGGATTGCGCTGCAGCCCGAGATACGCTGTCAACTTAATAGTTAAGGTGTTTAGGTTATTGGGGTTGAGGGTTTCGGAATCCCTTATTTCCCTGAGCCCATGAACCTCGAAGCCCTAACCTCAAGCTTCAATTATACTTAAGGAGCATGCAGGGGACTTCGGTTCAAGTAAGGACCCCTAAACGCCCAAGCTTATCATCATCCTCCAGACGTGCAGAACCTCAACTCCCTGAACCCAAAAGCCCAGACCCTAAACCCCAGAACCCTATAACCCTGTAGATAGAAACCCCTAAGCACCTATAAACCCTATAGAGCCCCAGAGCCCTAAAGCCCTAAACCCCTAAACCCTCGAGCCCAAAAAACTCAGGACCTGAATTGAACTGAGCCCTTGATCCAACCCGGCAGCCCACTTCTGTTGACGTTAAAAATGAGCACGCAAGCTCCAACCAAACCCAGGGTACAAAGCACAAGTGACAAACTTCGATATACTGAGGTAGTTGCTTAGCTATAGTATATATAAGTTATATCAATTGAACCCAGGTCCCAGCTACGACTCTGCAGACCTTGGCAGCCACGGCCAGATGTGATGCGCCGCCAGACCTCGGCAGGTCTAGTGTTCCGACACAGAATCTAGGTAGGGGAAGTTGGGAGATTTGTTTGACGAATATTCGAGGTTAAAAATAGCTAGGCTACTTCTGGAAGGGTTGATATTCTCGGCCTAGGAATGCCTTTCGTGATTGCGACCGCTTTGTGAAAAGATGGGGCCTTCGTTTCAATATTCCACGCTCAGTATACAACCATTCCTCCGAGTACCAGGTGCCCTACCTTTCCCCAAGGGCACTGCTGACACACCACTTGACGAAGACACCGGAACTACTTTTTGGAGGTCTACAGGATCTTGAGGCTGCCAAGGCCCACCTTCAGAGTTTTTGGGACACATACAAATTGACTCACCCTGAACATGAAGTCTTCAAGCAGGCCGCTGCTGGCACGCTGGTGTTACGCACAACAATTCCCGTTCTGTTCCATGGGGATGAGGGAAGGGGGATCAGAAAAGGCAACACGACGGTGTGTTCAGTGGAAACTCCTTTTGGTCTGGATACCCACACCGCCGACAAGTACGATCTCATGGACTGCTGCCAAAAACATGCTGCGGATGATGTTCTGTTGTGCGACTATCAAAACTTGAACCTGAAGTTCCACTCTTACTTGACCAAGCTCCTCGTCTTCTTGCTCCCGGGGAAGATTTACAAAAACAGTGATGTCATGACTGGGCTCTTGGAAGTTGTATTCCGAGACCTAAGGTCTCTGTTCTACGAAGGCATCGTTCTGGGCAACCAGATTTACAACGTGGCTTGTGTGGGCATGAAAGGAGATTTAGTCTGGTTCGCGAAGCTGGGTCAGCTCGACAGGTGCTTCCTGCATCTGTCATACACAGAAGATCGACTTATGTGCCATGAGTGCCTTGCCGGAAGCACTGATAAGCCCTTCGAGGACGTGAGCATCGGCCCGAGTTGGTCAAGTTCGATTTTTCAGCAGCGTCCCTGGTCAAACAGACCGGGGACGGGACTGCTTGAGGTGCCGTTCGACAAAACGAAGCCCGAAGCGATATTGAGACGGGACGTGTTCCACAATAGCAAAGTGGGCGTGCTGCAGGACTACATTGCCAGCAGCATGCTGCTTGTCATCGAAATGGGCTACTATGCCGTGCCTGAGCGGGCTGGGAACTCAAGGGATGCGACACTGGGTCGCCTCTTCGGGCACTTCAGGCTTTTTTGCTGCACAAAAAAGTCTTCGCCGAACATGCATGGTTTTAACAAGAGTTTTCTCAATGCCACGACCCGGAAGCATTATCCATGGGCGAAATGCAAAGGATGCGATGCCATGCTTCTCGTGGAATGGCTCGAGGTCCTATGCACTTCGTGCCTCAACAGGCTCCAGAAACCCTGTGACGCGAGGATTCTAGAAGGCATCAAAGCAGGGGCTACCGCAGCTCGCACATTTTTGAATGCTATGTACCGGCACGGCTTGTGGTGGAAACAGTCGTGTGCTGAGTTCATTTTACAGCAAGGCAGCAGGTTTCTGAAATGCTACAACTTCATGGCTTATATTTGCCTTCATGAACTGGACGGCTTCGCTGGCTACGCTATGAAGCCGAAACTACACATGCTGTGCCACACTGTCTACGAAATCCGACAATGCCTGCCGTACAAGCGGCAGCCCTCCTGCCTCATGTTTGGATGCGAGGCCAACGAAGACTTTATCGGTCGAGTTTGTCGGCTATCGAGAAAGATGCATCAGCGCCGTGTGTGTGACCGTGTGATTACCATGTACCTCACGAAAGCCTTTGCCCTTCATAAGAAGTACCTGCGTTCACCTGAAATTCAGAAAAAACGCAAGCGTAATTAAGGCCCTGGCCTTCTTTGTGCCGTTGCAAGGATGCATGGCCAAGCTGCCGAAACCGGATCTATGTCATCCTATATAATTGTATTATACTCCCTGAACTCCTCTAAATTGGTCCGTATACTTTGTACTGTGTTTGCCGAGGCTGTCATAGCAAAGACCTGTCATGGTTTAGCTAGGGGTTTAAAGGTTATATATATAGGGTGAATATAGTTTAGGCGGACCCCCATAAGCAATCCTACTCGGTCCCTCTTAACAATATACCCCTTAATGTCCGGATCGCCCTGCTCCTGCACTGCACGTGCGCAGATCGAAGGTGGCTGCCAAGCTAGCTTATAGATATATATATATATATAGAGATATATATATATATATACTGGGCCCAGCTAGTTCCAGGCATCTTTTGGGTGGGGATCTTGGTGCCAGCTACCACTTTAATTGGATGCTGCAGCTGTACAGCCGTTACACATGAGACTTCAAAGCCGGGAAACATTCAGACTTGCCGCGCGGGTTTTTCCTACATCCCCCAATAACACTAGAGACTTCAATCCAGCACAAAGAGCCCTCTTCAAACCCGACAGTAACTAGCCCAAATTAAAGCACCAGAACTGAATGGACACTTACCTTCCCTAGTGCAACCCTTAAACACGGTAAAATCCGAACATCCCGGCAAGCTCAACCGAAATGATGACCGCCCCTTATACCCAACCCCATACATAAGCCTCCTCATATATAGTGTCTACTGAATATCCCACGAAGTCTGTCGCATCCCCGAGCCAAGCCCCCGATCTGATCGACCTTGAAGATCAACTCAAACAAGAAACCCTAAACCCTATTAAACCCTATAAACCCGAAACCCTAAACCCGAAACCCTAAATGAGTCTCAGGGAGCTTCTAAAGGTCTTGAGAGGTTGCATGGCTTCTGGGGGGCATTGGTTTGCAGAGTCTCAGGATTTGCGAGTCCTATTTTTTTGGCTTCAAGGGTCCTTCAGCTTAGGGTTGTTTGAACTGTCGACCGTTAGCTTATGTCCTTGAATGCTACACCAATTCACTTGGAGGGTCGGGGGACTTGGTAAGTATAGTTATTTTATACATAGAGTATATATATCATAACCCTTGTTAGGACCCCTTTGTAGGTCTACTTATTACCCACTTACTAAGTCCTCCGACGCTCCAAGTAGGGTTTAGAACCGGGTCTAACATTTTCAGGTTTCGAGCGGGGCTTGTGGTGGGATCCTCATGTCGCTGCCCTAGAAGTAGCCGGCAGCCTGTGCAAAGCCGAAAATCCCGAAAGGGAACCCCTATAAACCCTAAGCCGTTTCTCAACCACTGACACGCCTTTAAATTCCCGACTTGCCCAGTATCATTGGGAACTCAAAGTTAACCTTTGGGGTTATAAGGGGATTGTGCAACCACAAGCCATATCAAGTATGGAAAGACATCAAGTACGTGGAAAAGCAGAATACATAGCTGATATGCCAAATCGAACTCTGCAAATCCTTGCCATTATCTGCAAGATTCAGCCAGAATGCGAAAAAGCATTTTTTTCTTGAATCGCCATTTTTTAATACAAACGCCTAAAATTTCTTTAGTTTCGCCAAACGCCTAAAATTTTCGTCCCCGGGTTCTATAGGTAAGGGTTAGGTTTTAAAGGGCTTGT